TATGACAACTGTTACTGTCGAATACGTTTTTATTTTTTTACGAAAACTGCTTACTTATGCTGTTAATTCACGGAATATTTCTATGTCGTACACTATCTAGCAAGTCTACATTTCTTTATACCGTTTCAGTAAATGATTGTCATAATTCATAGAGGAATGCAGTAAATGAAACCATACGAAAGCGAAAAATTTAGACACATAGTAGGTATGTGTTAGATATGTATATATATCAGAATATTACATTAAAAGAAAATCAATCAATATCGCATTAACTGTCGCCTGTTATTTGTACTATCGTTTGTGGAAAGTAAAAATGATTTGTAGTGAAATGGTATATTTATAACAAATTGCTTCTAACCCCTATTTCCTGTAAATAAATATGTTTGTTTAAAATATTTACATAACTACAATATAATAGGCAATTAAAATCACACTTATTTTATTAAAAGTGTGTAAAAGTGTATTAATAAAACTAATTAATGGAAAAAAATAAAGTAAAATATAATTTTATCCGTAAAACTCAATCGAAATATACGGTCGAAACGTCGTGGGAAATCAATCAAGTTATAACTCTCATTGGGTTTTATAGGCGAAAATTCATCCAACGAATTTAAATTTCTATTTTTTCTTAGGACTTATTAAAGTAGAATGATTATGTTTTTAACTTACTACAATAGCAGCAGAAATTACTTATAAAATAGAATAAAAAGGAAATGAAATTAAATTTATTGCTAATAAATTTTCATGGAAATCCTTAAACCAAGTGTCTTCGGCAGAGTTTAAAAATATACCTACTTATCGTTAGTAAATTGTATAATTGATATCACCAGTAAAAATATGCATAAAGGTATTGTTTTTCTTCTTTTCTATATGTACCTAAAGCAGACGTAGTAGAGGATATTCTCAGCCATGAAAAATCAAGTTTGCATTTTTTGTGTCCTTCCCGCACAAGTTTCCAAGTTATCAAGGTCAAAAAGAAATTCACAACCAAAGCATCCATTACATTTCCAGTAAAGTAAACCGATTAGCTCTTTTACCATCTCACATCAATGTTACATTATGCAGAAACAGTCGATGAATATAAAAACGGCAGCCTATCAGCTACTTTGTCTGGCATTGAACTCACTTTCATGTCGCAACATTCATTATTTTTGCCATTCATATACACACTCGCAGTCAATGTTTTCTGTGTTTCGCAGAGTCAACCACATTTTGTCATTAATAATTAAACCGAGGAAGTTGTTTTTATATCTTTGCGAAATTGTTTTATTAGGTTATTGTATGGTATAAAATGAATTTGTGATTAGAAATAAATAATCAATAAAAACGGTGCTATTTTCAAAACTTTTAGCATTATTTGGTTAGTTCCCGATGTCCCGAATAAGTCAGGGAACCTAGAAAACTCTAGAAATAATTTTGAATATGAATGTTACTGTTACCTTTAGAAGGTATTAAAAATGAATTTAAAAACATCGTGAACTGATAGTTTTATGATAACAGCTCAACTTTAATTTTCGGTTTAATTTATTACACTCACTAACAGTTTAATTATAGTTATACAGACAGTTATTTCTTTCAAATATTTGGCAATTTGTCAAATAGTATACCGTTTCGATTACTTTACCGGAATGAAATTAAGACTTACCTGTCGAACACAAAATTGAGTACCAGCATACCTGCTAGAGGAACTTAACTGAAAGTCGATGGTAAGCCAGCAGGTGTTTTGATTAAGACGTCGCACTAGCAACTGAAGTAAGTACCTGCAACATAACTGAAAGAGCGATTTGAGTTTGGTATGTTTTGCGGAAGGAAAAGCGAATGGTTCGTGGCCCCGTGGCCCATCGGAAACACTTGGCCCACTAAGGTTATTATCGGCCACTCTTCATTGATGATTCGGGAAAGGATTTCACCTATAGTCGACGGCATTATAACTAAGAACTTTCTCAAACTAAAATAGAATTATCTCGTCTTTCGTATAAAATGTAGGATTTGTTTTTACCCCACGACTTCATCCGCAGGAAAAAGAGGAGCCTGGTTCAGTTTGGACAATCACCTTTTCATATATGTAAAGTACATAGACATGTACAGCAACTATTGAACCATTTGAAGCCAATATGACAGACAATAATAAGAGATGCGTGGAATATTCACATTTGAAATACGTTGAAGATAAGATGTGATTGCGGTTTTTTATAAAAGAAAAGCAGTTGTAGTTTTTCAAATTTAACTAGACATAGGAGACCACTGAAAGACGTTGCACCCTGTATTTTTTATTTTTAGAACATTTAACGATATAAAATCTTATATAGTATTGCAAGAAGATATTAGTAATTGTTTTACGTGAAACTAATCTTTCTGCATTTTTCAATTGATCACATTCTATTTAAAATAATTAATAGTATTAATACTAATGGATAAGTTGATAACAAGGCTTGCACTTAATACATTTTATTATCTATGCTTTGAAATGAATCTTAGGGTTGGCATAGGATTTAGTTCTTCCTAATTGAACAAGGAAATTTTGATTAATTGTACTTATATTTAAAAATATAACTTTTGACTTTAAATAACGTTATTTCTTTCAATTATATTTCATTTTGATTAAGTTTATGAGAAATTCCTTCGCTAAAATTCCTCCGACTATACATATCGAAATGATACGAGAGATAAGTGAGCACTGACGTAGCTTTTACTTTTTGATTGTTGCAAAATGAATAAAAAAGTGGCGCACTGTAGGGTGCCCCGTATTTGATTGTAGCAGAGACTTCGTGTGGAGCCTGCAAGTTGTTCCACTTTCTGTAGACGGGGTACATATATATATATTGTATTGATTTGACATTTCCTTGACGAAATTTAATTAAAAATTATATACGTCAAAAGTCAGTGTCTTTATGATTTTCATTTTCTAAAAAGAAAACCAAAACCAAAAGCTTGTGCAGTGATTTGACCGTGGGAGGAAAATTTTCAACATTGCTACAGAATTTTTATTGAACGTCAACGTACTTAGAACTAACAAGTGACTTTTGAAAAGTCCTAACGATGTCTTATACAAACTTTCTATGTAGACCATTCGGGCAATTTCTATAACTTTCGGAAAACGTTTTCCGCGAGTTTACTTTTCCATTACATCCAATTTATTGAAATCAACCATAATTTATAACGATTTATAGTTGATGGAAACCTAAAACTAACTTAAAGTTTTACATGATAATAAAAAATTAACATGAAATAAAACTTCCTGAAGAAATCCTTGTTGCTGCAAGCGAATAAATTATCCATAGCTAAGCATTAGTGACGCATGAAACCCGTTTATAACAATTATTACTAGCAAGGTATAGTTGACCCTTTGAATCGACTGCTTCTATCTATTCGTACTTTCTACGTGGTTAATGTGAATTTTAATTGTGTAAAGTTTAAGAATACAATTATTCTAAAGCGTGAGAATTTGCATTCGTTGCAGTGAAATGTAGGTTGTTAGAACGGCACTTTCCAGATATATAGGAGCAAAGGTCATGTCTTACCGGAACACACTAATGTGTCGAATAAAACCAGAAATTAGATTTTTCATTATTAATAAAACATTTTGTTGTTCCTCTGAATGTACTGATATGATTTTTAGGCTTTTTGCAAAAAAATTCTTTTGTTTCCTCTTTATGACCGAAAAATGTAAAATTTAGGCAGAGAATTTTTTAAATATTACAAGAAAAATTAAATGATGTCCTTTGAATGGCATAACCCCCAATTCAGTCACAATTCGATTATCCTTTTCCCCTGTACGGGTGGACGTCCCTTATGGATCATCCTTAATTGATACGTAAATCCAAAACAAAAATAGTATAAGCCATTTCTAAGGCAAAATTTCAAAAGATTTCTTCGAAAAAATCGATAAAACAAACTAGTTTCAATGCATTTCTGCATTGAATTGTTAATTTTATGAGTAAAGGCGGCGTGAACTTGATTGTTGCATTGAAATGACATTTAAATAGATAAAGCGGTAATTGATAAAAGCGAAAGAACACAGCAATTTTCCACTGATTTCCATACAATAACTTTACCGTAACCAATGGACACTAGTTCGCTAGAGGGCAGCACTTGCAACGGGAAAATTCGCTCCTTCCTTTTCCGAGCTGGCCATCGATTTTCACAATGTCTTGCGCGAAGTGCGCGTTCAAAATCACATTTACTTCCCGTCTTTCCTCTAACACACATATCAAAATAAGCTTCAACAATAACGAACCACAAAGCATATCGTTCCGTTAAATCCTCTCTGTTGTCTTAATTATACAATAATTAACAAGTCGCAGTGATCAACTTATCAATAGCGAGACATTAATCGCGACCGAGTATGAGCTCGAACGTACGGTTATTGAAAATCATCCCATTATTGTCGTGATGGTTAAGTTGAATGAACTCGAACGTATAAAAACTTTAGGCTACGCTCGTGGTGTTGTATTTGAATATAGTGCAGTGTAGAACTAGCCTTAACGATGATTTTATTGGACATATAAGAATCATGTTGAGGACTAACAGGGGGCCGGGTCCCCCTATACTATTTTTGTTTTGGATTTCTCTGCTTGTGGTGCCCCCCTCTGTCGTAGCTGACAAGAACAAATACTGTAAGTATAGACGTACTTAAAATAAAAAAATGTGGAATTTTCTTTGAACGCGTTTTCTCCCTATTTTTGAAAGATATAGATATTGTATTTATTCGTATGTGGTTGGGTTTCTTGTTAATTTATAATTACATATGTTACCTGTACTCAGCTTTCAATGTTCTCTCATAAAGAAAAATTTAAATTTTCATAAAGATAAGGTTTATTTATAAGAAAATTTGTGAGTTAAAATAGATGGTTCTTTTCTCTGCTTTGAATATTTCCTAGCAGTTCAAATGACAAGTACAAAATAGTTGATTCAGCTTCTAGTGTGTGTGAATATTATGTCAGTGATTTTAATAAAACTAGTAGGCTGGTTTTTAATAATTTTATTGACAAGTTATGGATTTTTATTGAGTGTTGTTTATTTATAAATGTTATTCGTGAAATTCTTTCATTCGTTTGTTAATTGTCCTTTCCGAAGCGGGAAAGAACTGCAACAAATGTTTCCATTGTTTTTTGCACAAAATCAAACAAGTAGTGATCGTTTTAGACCGATACGAATAGAGGTACGGGGCCACCGTCAAACCTTGATGAACTCCAAAATACTGGCCTTTTTTAAGCACTTCAATGACTTCAGAATCGCGAGTACCGTCGTCGGCAAGAACTTCGACCACTCCAGCGTGTACAAAATACATACATTCATTATAGGTGCCTTTGAAAACAATAAAATCGCCGGGATAATAGAAGGTGCACACAAAAAAGGAAACAAGTTGTCTATTGAAATCGACATGGCATTGTCTGAATATGTAGTGTTGGAAAATGTGATGGCCGTACGCGGCGTTCATCACCAGCTCTCTATGATACGGCGATATTTCGGAAAAAACTGAAATCATTTTAAAGCCTTTCTGTTTCCTCCACAACAGTTGCATGTAACGGAGTATCCGGTTTCTGAGACCTTCCGAAATGTTTTCTCCGTCGCAAAGGGCAAGAATTTTCTCCGTTACCAAATAATGGTTTGTGAAAAGGGCGAAACTTCTTTGGGCGGCAGCACAAACCTGTGCCATGAACGTGCTGTGCACTATCAACATTAGAAATATTATGGGAATGCTGAGACCAAGTAGATAATTGCTGTTTGGATGAAAAATTTGGTGAATCTTCTTCGACGTCATTGCTGTCACGTAATTTAAATTGTCTAAATAAAAATTAATTTTTTGATTGAACGTGTTTTCTTCTAAATTAACAACGTTAAATTCCATATTTACAAACGTTACTCCGCAGTAGATTTGCATTTTTACAAAAGTATTGGCGAGTATGTGTATGGCCAAGTTGACCCAAGCGGTCGAATATAAAAAGAGAGTACGATGAAGTGAGTTCAGCGTCTTGTATTCGTTATCGTTGAAATAATGGTACACATGTTGAATTCGTGCGTTTTTAAAAAGCCTCAAGATACAAAACGCTTTATATCTTCCTGCAACAGAACCAGGAGCAATCAGGGGAATCACGTCTAACGGAACAACAGCCAGGATATCCGCAATAAAAAAATACTTGGATCGCCAAACCCTTTTCCAGATGTATTTGTAATCGTCGACGTAGTAACCGAGTTTGTCTTTGTAAGCGACAAGTATTATGAAGAAGTTAAGAAAGTGTAGAATGTCGGTGGCAAATAAAATGTATAATTCGGGAGTTTCAACGATCTCCACGGAACAACAGTATATATTGAACACGACGCCTAAATAGCAGACAAAAATTAAATGGAAACACCTCCATACCTTCCGAAAATTATAAACAAATGGATTTTTACGAGTGTACGAATATTTCTGCAAACGTTTTGTCTCCACCGGTGGTACGAAGCGTCCTTTCAAAAAGTCTATATGTATCGCAGTGAGGTTGCGAAACAATCTTTTACATCCCGGATGCTCGCCCAATATATTATGAAAGAGTGTTGTTTTTATAGATAAAAATTCTACATTTTCGGAGGCTATTATAGCTATAGATTGTCTTGCGTTTTCGTACGTATCCAAATTACCAAACATCGATCCCATGTATAATTTTGTCAGTATCGATCCATCAGGCCCCACCACCTCAACCGAACCATCCAAAAGAAAGTATACGTTCGACACAATGTCATTAATTGCTGCTATGAAACAACCCTTGATCGCCACGTCGTGGGTAAGGTGAATGCATAGATCGCGAAAGAAAATTACGCTCTCCTCTGATGATAATATTGAATATTCTTGCAGAATTTTCCCATACATATCGTAGAAAATGTCTTTCTTAATGCACAACGGGAAATTATCGAACACGCTCCGTCTCGGCAATCCCTTCTTTCTGTGCCATTTAAGATTGAAATGTCTGAAAACCTGATTCTGCAAAAGCGGTCTGATATGTTCTTTGCGCATAATTCTTTTGACCAAAGTCAGAATTGTATTGTGTCGTAAATAACGATTACCTATTGCTAAATGCTCATTTACAACAGTTGAAAACATGAATGCCAACGTAAAAAAGCTTGTCACCATGATAAAACTGACTATAGTAGCTGACGACATATCTGCTAGGCGAAGTTTGAGGGCTCCGCAACTAGTGAAGGATACAGTTGCCAAATAGAGACCGTAGAGCTGAACATGTTCGGGAGTCAAAGGTCTTTTGCTGGTCACGCTTGTAATCCAAGTGTCCGTTTTGCAAACAACTTCAGAAGTGTATTCGGCACTTTCTCCTATATTTTTTCCAAAATGACAAGCCTGTCGTACCAAGCAATTTCCCAGTATAATACAAAAACTAAGGAATGGTGGAATGAACTTGACATTGGCGAGAAATGAACTGATCCTGAGGCCGTGATTTTTGGCATAACTGATAACGCCAGCGTATCTGTACGATTGCAACAGCAAAAGATAAACGTAGAAATAATAGTTTTCGCGAGGAAACAGCCAATAGAAAGGGGCGGTTCCGATAAAATCGGTAACGAACGAATGACTTAGATAATGTGAGGCTGTTTTCAGCGGATGGGAAACCAATATACCTTCGTCGTTGTAATAACAAACGTGCAATCTTAAATACATGTCCAGGAACGGGAACAGGTCAAGAGTGAAGGCCAAATACTGTCCCGATAACGGATTCGTAGATGAAAAATAAAAGCAATGCCACAAAAGACTCACCAGAAAGAAGAAGCATCTTGATGTCTCCCAAATTATCAGAAATTTACCGTCTGGTAGAAACGTATATCGCAAAAGAAAGTACTGAATCCAACCCCACGACGATCTGTCGAACGGTACGTAATACTCGTATTCTTCCGGGGAACCGATGGGCAAATTGTATCCAAAAGAATTTACTGATGGCGTTTTTGGCGGCGCGCTTTCTATCAGTTCCCGAACAAGATCCACTGTGTACCTGCTTCTCATATTACGAAGTTTAGCCGCGATCTGCAGATCGTTCATTATTTTCGTGAAACGAGAAAAATCTCCAGGGTATTTGGTGTTTACAAGTTTCCAAGTTTTAGTGCTTATTTCCAGAAAAATGACAGTGCTTGCGCTAATGTAACTGTTCACAACGTTGACATTCAACCACGTTTCCAAAAACAACAAATGATCTCCGGGCGCGTAAAGTCTATCGTCTAGAACGTCATTTTCGCTAACCTTTTTTATGTAACCTCTCAAGATAAAAATTGACGCGTTACACATTTGACCTGAATAAACTAGAGCTTCGCGATCTGGGAGACTTTTTACCGAGGCATTTGCACAAATTTCTCGTAACGCTTCGCTAGATATGTTTCTAAACAATGGATTCTTAAGGAGCTTCTGATAAAACATGTGCGTCTTGTACAACGTTCTAACATTATCGGGGTACAGTGGAAGATTATGCAGAAGATCGTTCCCGTTAGCAATATGCCAATTGGTAATCAAAAGACGATTCAAACGACGCCGAAGACCATCCGAAAAGTTATATTTTTTCGAAAAGTAATGAATTTCGTTGATAAACATCTTGTAGTTGATTTTGGAAAATTCTTGTAAAATGTGTATCGCGCAAAGGTGCGAGAATGCTATGAGGAATAAGAATAGCGATATGAGCCGTAACAGAGCAGAAAATTGCGGGCTGTTTTCCAAAACATGAATTTTGCCTAATATACCGTTATTTGCGACGATCGTTTCTGTTGCAAAAAAATACCAAAACATAGTGGTATCTTCCTCGTCAGTGGCTCCGATCATATCTCCTACCAGAAAAGCGACGCAAGCGCAACAAAAATACAGTGCAAGAAAAATTACAATGTGAATAAAGTAAGTCCAGGCCAATGATTCTGTCGAAGACCTTTTCTGTCTCTCCTTAAAAAAAAGGTAAATTCGCCACAATTTCAAGCATCTGTTTCCTTTGATAAGAGTGACGTTTCTATCTGTCATTTTGTGATCGAAAATACAAAGGAATATTTCGGTGGGAAATGCCGCAAATAAAGCGAGATAAAATCTCGCGTGTCTTACATGGTAACTGATTATATCTTTCATTCTTACCAGATAGTTGTCGTTATGTTTGACAACTGTACTGAGTAAAATATAAGTATCGAAAACGTATAAAACCGTTATAAATTCGCTAAATCGTTTCATCCAATAAGGAACGGTGGCCAGTCCGAAACCATAAAAAAGGAAGAAAGCTGTAAATAATATTGCCAGTATGATGATGGCAATGTCCCAAACTGTCTTAATCACATTCTTTGATGTTATTATCCACGGGAATGTCGTGCTTTTGAATACCGAGTCGTCACTCATCGCAGTCCTGTCGGCAATCACAAGCATGTCCAAGTTTTCCGCAGTGAATTGCATATCCTTGAACCTTTCCATCGAAAAGTCCATTGCTAAAAACAAGTTTTGAATTGTATGTTTTGACGATGTTATTTCATCTTTCATCATTAAACTGTGCAATGTTAACTTCAACCACATAATACTGTTCTGGTCTAAAGTGGTCGATGTACTCAGTTTTTGATTGGCCAGCGTCGCCAATTGTTTAAGCTTTCTGGCCCTATCGATTCTTTTATTTATGGCGGCGTTAACCTTCCCGTAATTTTCTGGAAATTTAACTGAACATTTTTCGAACTCTTTCCTTTCCAGTAAGTAAATAATACAGTACGTTTCGCATCTGACAGTTGTGATCGATTTAGTATTTACAACGAGGCTCGATTCACCAAGAATAGTGCCTTCCGTAAAGGTCATGAGAGCCGTGTCTTCGTCCCATTTTGACATAACTTTGATCTTACCACTTGCCAGATATATCATTTTGTTCTTAATTGTGTTCCTTCGAAAAATGACTTGGCCTGCAAATAAATGCTCGTGCTTTACCATCGAGGCTAGTACTCTGAGAAAAGCGAAATCCATTTTCCTAAACACCTTAGAATGCTTAAACAATGGACAGTTGATATCCAAAAAGAGATCTTTCTGCATCGAGCTTGCTATTACATCTGAAAAGTTCATATCAACGTCCAAATACCCCTGCCTGTGAACCCATATTGTTTGATAAACATCTTTGAACGTGTCGTGTAGATCTTGCGTACTTGACAAATACTTCCATCGAACGTCAAAAAACTTCTTGATGGTCAAAAAGACATATTTCTTTTTGAGAACGGCTTTCAGTTTTGTCAAAACGAGAGCCAATGAATAAACTGTGAAGTATGCAAAACCAATGAACATTGCTAACGTTATGTACAAATGAAGAAAAGTATCTCCGCCCTCGATTACAGCGAACATTGTAACCAAACTGATACATGTTGAGCCCAGTTTAGTTACAGCCGATGTCAATTCGCTAGGCGGGCCTGGCCATTGATACTTTAAAATGGTATAACCCGCGGAAATTGATGTACACATGCTGAGGGCAATAAAGAAAAAGGCGTTCAAGTACAGGGCAGCTATGTGATTCACGCCGACCGTCTCTCTAAAGTCGGCAAACAGGTAGAGTAACCTGATAATTCTTAAAATTTCGTTCATTTGAAGGAAGGAGGGTAAGTACTGACTCTTGTGGGCAATCGAACTTGGAAAGAAAACAGCTAACGGTATACATGAGAGAAAGTCGCATACCAATACCGAATTTGGCAGAAAAAGGTTTAACGATGTACTTCTTTGGGTACGATGTATTTTAGCCATGGTGTGCAATAATGTGTCCAGAAAGTACAGAAGACACAGGTAAGCATACGTCACTGAAACATAACAATATAAATCGAAATACTTGTTAATCACAAACAACGAACTTACATATATTGGATTTGTAATAATGTTCGTCTGGATCGAATTTTAGTATTGACACGGAAGCGATAATAAGTAGAATTCTTACAGTGACAAGTGCCATCAAGACAACTCTCCAAACAGGATCGAATGGAATGTGAAGTATTTTTCTCCATCCTTCGTCCTTTTTGTCCTTGGTGGTTGTGGGTTCTTCTGTATAATTAAGGTATATTTTGTCCCATTCATCAGACGATAATGAATGACTATCGACAGTTTTATTTGCCGATAACTCTTCCAACATGATACTCATCCTCTCTATTGATAAAATAAGTATTAACGTTACACGAATCGCCTTCAATTTTTGTAAATAGTTACGGATTTGCCATGGAGTTGAGTTTGTTTGAACAGCCACAAATCTCTAGATCAGAGAATTACATTTTTTATGAAAATTCGGGCTCCCTTAGGAAAATTAATATATTTAGTATATTCTAAGGGTTGCTAAATCTTTTAAAATTAGTTTGCGAATACGTGTTTTGCAAGATATACAAACAGAAAAAGAACGACATATATACAAAAAAAAGAAGAAAATACATACGACGATCACAAACATATATACATGAAGAAACCTGAATGGACTATAATGCTAGAGCTCCCTCTCCCTTATCGCTGGTAGGTGAAGTGTCGGAGTTAGCCAAATAGTAAACAAAAGAAAAAACAAAAGAAAACTTTGATGGTTGCCATTGGTCGGTGGAATATCAGAGATGATCTCTGCTTAAAAAAAAAATTTTTGGGTGTTTCATTCCCACCAGCCAGTAATGCTGGTGGGCGGGCAGTCCCTCCGGACTACGCTGGAAGGTAGGGCGGAAGGCCCTCTTCAGTCTCCTTTCAGGAATCGTGGGAATGGGTGGTTGGTGGTTCGGGTGAGAAAGATGAGACGGATGAAATGAAGACAGAAGAGAATGAAAGATTATCTGTAGAATATTACTGCCTCAGCATTTGTCTAAGTGATTCAAGGAAACCACAGAAAAGCTTGGATAGATGCAGACGTACCGAAAATCGAACCGGCTTCCTCCCGGATGTTAAACCTCGGTCTTTGCTCATTCCGGGACCGGTATTTATACCACCTTGGGGTAGCAAAAAGGGGTGGAAAATAGAGGAGTTGACGGTGGAGTAATGAAATAGGGTAAAATTGGTAAACAAGAAACGAATACAGGATAACAGGTACTTAAGGGCAAAAAACGGACAGGTTGATTGTGGATAGGTAGGCATACCGGTCGTTAGAGGAAGTGTATATGTTTTTTGGGAATAAATGTTGCATGTACTTTTCGGCCAGGTACAACAAGGGAAAGAAACTTAGTTTCTTTGACTTTGTGACATACGAACTGTGCTGTTCTTCCTTCAGCTATCATAAGTAAAGGGTAGATGATTATAAAGTAATTATTTAGATACCTACTAAGCTCTGTCTCTTACTTCTACATTGAAAAAGAATAAAAACCAATCAATGTAGTTAGTATATGTACATAAATATGTATAAGGATAGGCGGTGGTGATGATGATAGGAACATATTACATCATTTTCGCCCTTATGCGTTCGTTTGTTTCTTTTTCAGTCGTTTTCCTGCAAACGTAAATCAATATTTAATATATCTATTGACATTTTAGTATCAGTCGTGCATGAAAAATGGAGGGCAATGAACTCGGGGCGCCCCCTGTGTTCCACAAAAACCTTCCCGTTATTAAACAAACGACAAAGCTAACGACGGCATTGTCAGCGGGCAGTGGGGTAACGTGGCAGTACATCGGAAGTACGCACATACGTATTGTTCATCTTCACTAAATTACTAACACAGTGGGCAAAACTAATAAAGGAAAATGGGAACGTCGCATTAGGTCGACGGAAAAATCGGAAAAATTTAATGTGTCCTAGTGGGATTGATCATTATTTTGAATTTTGCCTTGTAACTGAACAGCTGATGATACAATATTCTTGAATTAACTGACCACTACAATCTCTCAGTAAAGGATAAAAGGACTTCTCAAGCCTTCTTTCGATATCCAGCACGTCATTAATTAACCAGAATTTTTAATTAAAGTTTGTTCTTTGTCGTATCCGAGGTCGAACTTAAAAACTGCTATAAGAATAGTTTGGTTTAAATGTCTATATTCGGTATGACAGAAACATTCTTATCTTAATAGTATAACGTTTAGAGTATGTACCATGCCCACTTGAACGGCTCCAACTCGCCAATTCGATAATTCAACAGTTATTATGAATTACAATAAATATTTGTAACATAAACCATCTGTTTGTTTTTGTGTTACCTATGAGATTGTTGTGAAAATATCGGCAAGTATGTGATGAACTGTGTGAAAAAATTATAATGTTATATAGTGTGATGCATCTTGTGTGTTCTAAAGATTGCTGGAGGCGGTGGTGAAAGGGCCAGTATTTGTGACTTTGGTGTCCAAGTAATGGGAGGAGGACTTTCTACTTTGGGTTGCGTAATATCATTCACAAAAGCGACACTGCAGGGGGTTGTTTACAGTAGGGATGAGAGTTAAGGTGAAGGGGTGTATAAAATTGAAAGGGAGAGAGAGAGAAATCGAGATAAGGGAACGAGAACGAGTGGAGTGAGTTCCTAGTCTCGACGACTGACTGCAAGCTGCAAGGTTTAGATCAAAAGCTCCAGCCATGTATGCAGAGGTTTATTTCTGAACTTATCGCAGACACGAGAAATATTCGCCAAAGTTATGAATTCTGCACAAAGCTTCCCAACTGAGGACTCGTGAAGAATGCCGTAATTAAACGGACGATCTCTTAACTCTTTGTTGAAGATAGTTTACCTCAACAGAACTATTATAACGTGGCTTCGGGGAAAGGAAAATTGTTGGAGTATTTTCACGTCGTATAGCTCGCATGCGGTAGTTTCTTCCGTTCGAGTTCAAAAGTTTTCTTAACGACACCACTCGGATCATTATTATTTTCGTACAACATACACTCAGCTCTATTTTAAAATGCAATTTATTTCGAATTCCCCTTGTAGCCTCCACTAAGTTGCTTTTTCTTCCCAACAGCTATAACAATCAACTTAACTATATGTATATCCGCTAGTTATTGAGTAAATACATATGTGTCTAACTAGCTCTTTATGACTTTCGGCTCTCACATTACGTACATTACCTCTAATTCTATTTGCATATCGCTTGTCTACCAATATTTTTATGAATTTTCATTTCCATTTTCTGTTTTATTTAAATCTAGTTGCTGTCAATACATATACCTATAGAAATAATAAATTCTCAAACTTTTTTCTTTTTACCATATGCAAAATTGAGAAACTTAAAAAACGGAAAATCATTGAAATTCATTCATGGGTTCCTNTCTACCAATATTTTTATGAATTTTCATTTCCATTTTCTGTTTTATTTAAATCTAGTTGCTGTCAATACATATACCTATAGAAATAATAAATTCTCAAACTTTTTTCTTTTTACCATATGCAAAATTGAGAAACTTAAAAAACGGAAAATCATTGAAATTCATTCATGGGTTCCTGGTTATCATTATCAGTTATTTTACTTGTTCGTTTTGAATTTCCCTTCAATCCCTATTTTAACGTTGGCATCTAGTTACGTCAACCCACACGTAGAAGTTTGATCGATTCATACTATTGTCACCTCTGAAGTGAAGACGTTAGGCATAAAGTCATAATACGTAGTGGGTCGCATCACATATTAAATTAAGTTTTTCAAGGTTTACCGTTCTAGTAGGTACATTAGTCAATCATGAATGCATATCAGGTGATGTATATATTCCAAATAAATAGAAATTTGAATTGTTTTGGAAACATTTATATTAAGAGTACACGTACGGATAAATATTATAATATAAATGTTATCGGAAATGAAAATGAAATCTAGGAATTGTATACAATTCCTATGAAATTAATACAATTCCGAGGTTATTTAGGAAATGTATAAAATATTGTTTCAATGATTTTTTAATATACATATATCCTGGGAAATATATACATTGCCTAGGAATTGTATGGAATTCCGATATTGTACTAGGAAATATATGAAATTAATATTTATAAAATAACAATATTTTATACATTTCCTAAATAGCCTCGGAATTGTATACATTTCCTAGGGATTGCATACAATTCCTACATTTCATACATTTCCGGTTACATAAACATTTAAAAGATATGTGGTTTCCCCAAAATTAATAATGTGCAGTCTAATACAATTTGTGGTGCATTCCAATTGTGTAACACTTGTTATAACAAACTGTATTCCTAATACGTGAGGTTTACAGGATTGCTTGTAATGTTTCGGAGGTTCAAAGACCTGTGAAACAGCATTATTATTAGACTCAATGCATCGATATTTTTCAATTATCGAATATTTATCATTGGTCTTTATTTAGATTTAGTTTTCTGACTTAGCAAGAGGCCTACAGCAAACTTCGACCTTAGACGCCGATCTACCGTCGGATCTATCGCTCGACGATTTTATTTTTCCTGGCATGGGTCCTATATGCACAACCCTAGTAGTATTTTCAATACCAAAAAATAAATGATTTTTCTTAAAGTAGATACACGCATGTGTTATAAGACACTTTGTTGGTGAAATTAAGTTGCCGTCATGTTTGTTTAGAGGGCGTCTTGAAAAGCTTTTCGTTCACTCCAAGACAAAATTGGGAAGTACCTAAAAAGTCACCGTCGTACTACTGTAATGACGCGTCGCAGTTTTCTTTTTACTTGTATAATACAGAGATTGAAAGAAGTGAAGCTCTGATACTGCTACTACTACTAACTAGTACATACACTACACCCTCACTCTCTGCTGCATCCTCAAGAACGAACGAAGCTCATGTCTGTCGAGATTTCCAACTTAATTTGAAATAAGAACCAACCTCGACACTCCAATCTTGGCAACAGATCGTGCCTGTTATTGCGAAGTTGCTTCCTCTGACAACAACCTCTGACTTTCTTTCGCCCTTTCCCTGCAAGTGCAATATTTCACAAAACACATTTAAAGTTTAACCGGCAAATCCTCGTAATTCGGACTTTCGTGATACTGTTGTGGAAAATTAATGGGAAACTTATTATGAATACGTAAACGAACCAATCTAAAGTGACCATTTTTTTGCAAAACATTAGCTCCTAATCACTATGCAACAAATGAATTAAATTGTAAAAATTGTGAAAATTATAACACAAGTGGACCTCGCTGGAGCATACGTAATCCCAAAATGTAGCATCGTGCTACAGATGGCGTTTACTGCGCCATTTGTTGTATTTTCAATTATAATACTGTTTGAGTGAAAAGGCTTTT